TCACTAACTTACCGTCACATTGTTACAGCCAGATACATCAGTACTGAAAGGTGTGCAGGGGTTCCACTCAAAAACGCGTCCCTCAGCTTCCGGTATTTGAGTAAAACTAAAATGAAAAGATACCGCTTTGGTACATTGCTGAAACATTCTCAGTGGAGGTTTGTTTGTCCGGAGAGCAAACTACGTGAAACGGAGAAGAGGGGGGTAAGAGAAAGAGTCCTACGCACGTATCACGGACTTTAACAAGTAAAAATAACGCATCACTGTGATTAAAATTCCGAGTTCATGTTTCACGGAAATTTCCGAAGGAAAAGGACAGCATATGGCTAGACCTGTTCAGAATGCTGCTGTCTGCAGAGTTAATAGTAGGGTTGATGTTTTGCCTTTTGAGCCTCCCGCCGCAGAGCTATTGCAGAGAAAGAGAGGTAACAGAAGTCAGTGGACAAGTCAGGTGAACATACAATGGCCGAATTTATACTAGAGACGAGTTATCCGTCTAGACACCATCCGTCAGACGGATAATTCGTCTAAGTATAAATTCGAAAACGAATTTTGACGACTAATTCGTCTAGATATTTATATTGATATATAGATATATTGCGAAAATATAGAAACCAGTCCCTCTCATGTGGACACTTCGTCAAAAAACCGTCCACCTTCCGTCTAGATATAAATTTAGAGACGGATAAGCCGTCTAAGACGTATTATCCGTCTGTTAGTACGTCTTGAAGACGTGCTAACAGACAAATCATAATTCGTCTTAGAACCGAATTTATACTAGAGACGGATTATCCATCTGAGACGGATAATACGCCTAGACAGATAATTCGTCTCTAGTATAAATTCTGCCAATAGAGAGATTAAGATTTACGTTTACGCCAAACGGCAAACGTTAGATTCAAGTTGAGAATTTCTCAGAATAGAAAATTCTTATGTATAAAAATGGTGTGTAACTACCTATTTTTTAGTTGAAGTAATAAAAAGTTCACGACAATTAAGGGAAAAACTTTGTCACGTGGTACAAATTCACGTTTGCCGTTTGGCGTAAACGTGAATCCTAATCTCTCTAATGTAGGTGAGGGTACCGGTAAACTGATGATGACTAATGCTGACGGATAGTACCAATTTAACCTTAATTCCGTAGTCTTATATAGATTTAGGCAGGGCTAAAAGGGAAGCTCCGGTTAATATCTATATTTTACTAAAACAAAAATAAAATCGTGTAATGCTAAGCGGCGACGGCAACGAAAACAGCCAAATAAACCAGTAGGTCTAATTAGCAAAAAAAAAAAACTTTGCTCGTGCAGCACACTTCTTTTGCATATTTCTTTGCCGTTGTTTTGCTCGACGACAACGTGAATCGAAACTTCCTTGTTACAAGTTTTATGGAGGAAATTTTGTATGTGTTCTTGTTCGCTTTTTTTTGCTGCCGCTCATTTTCACCTTGGTGGCCGCTAGCATTTCTCAGTTTCTCATCACCCCTATAACATTGTCACGTTTTTCTTCCGACGAAATAATTGGTCTCCTTTGTTTTTTATCTCTCGCTTTAGCTCTTTCCCTGTTATCCACGTCAATTTAGACAGCTGTAAACTATTTCATAAAGAGAAAACCTTTTTTTAAAGAGCAACGATGGCCCACGATTTCCCGCCAAACAGAAAGTGAGTTACCCAGAAGCGATCCCCGCCGAAAAAATGTAGCGCTAGCAAACATATAACCCTACCCTAGTCGGGCTGACTCCTGACTACCTTTCCTCTCCCCCAAAGTTCGTACGGACGTACGGGCGTACGGTGACGTCATAGCCAAATTTGCTGGCATCGATAGGTTCCCATTTTCTCTTTAGGTATGGGCCTGGGGCTAGCGCGAGCGGAAACGCTGCTATTACTCCCTCTAATTTAAACACTTGCTTATTGTCACTGTCGGCCACTGCACCCAGGATGACCATACGAAAACCCCACACGTGTTAGCTTCACAAAAATAAGAGCTGAATTATGATTGATTGAAAAATACTGACGTGACGGAAATTCTTTCCAAGCTCGGGACTCGGTGGGTGAAACAAGAGCCGAAAAAGGCAGTAAAGGTCATTTAGCCCGACATACGAGGGAACGACTTTAAGTCTTTTAGGACTTTTAAAACAAGTTCATTTGAAGGTCCACTGGCTTCAGTAAAATTTTTCTTCAAATTCAACTTACCGTCCATTTTCACGAAAAAAATTAGTTGAAAATCACGAATATCGGATAAGAGATTTAAAAGTTCGAGTATCACGACAAGCAAACTATTCGCAGTTCACGAATTTTAATTTCGTGTTTTCGCTTTTCACGAAAATTAATCTTGTTTCATGCAAAAACCCCTTTGACCCCTTCGGAGAACAACACATTACACTAGCATTATTACCATTATTTTCCCCTGAAGGATGATGAAGAAAACAACTTTTATGTCTTTTGGTTAATTAATTTGCCTTAGGTATGAATATATCCAGTATATCAAGTATGTCTAGAGAATAAAGTAAGCTTATATCTTTATTATATAAAGCATAATTTGTGTATCCGGAAGTACTTGGATGGAAATGAGATCCTCTGCGCTTCTTTTCCCAAAAATACAGAGCAAGGCAAATGTAATCAAATCAAGGTGTTTGATTTTAACAATTCAGGATATGAATATGAAAGGTTCTTACCTCGGTTCAGTGGAAGATCCATCAACAGGCCATAAGTCAACTACTGACTTGTTACTGAACATACACACACATGTATTGAGCTTCAAACAGGATTCCTTTGCGCTTGAGAATGCTAAAACGCTTAGGGTGACCATCAAACTAAGAAATTTCAGCAAGGTCATTATTGTTTGGGACACAGGAATCACAAACTACACAGTTTGGAACGATCTTAATAGATCAGAACGTAGTAAATGGGTGGGGGCAAGATTCAGTGCTGCACAGCTAGGATTACCACCGCCAAGAACTTGCTGTCACACAACACAAACTGTCACACAACTTCCCTTTCTGTATTTCAGGTGAAGCTCTCAAATCCTCTGTTGTTTTTCGTTTTCTTTATTTCAGTTAATTCATTTCAAGCACCAGCTCTGTTTTAAGGCAAAACAGACATTACATGGATTTAGCTTCGTGCAAGAAAATATCTTCTTTTTGGGTTGTCCGTGGGTTGGGGGAAGGAGGGGGGGGGGGTGGGGAATCTGCGCGGTTTTTTAAGAGCTTACAGTGGGATTGTCATATGAATGCTAGGCTCCACCGGCCCGGGAGAGATGGGCTGAGCCTTTATACTCACTCGAGTTGACGCTGTTAACTTCTACAGTCGCCGCCGGTTATTCCCTCCACTGGGGCGAAAGTACATGCTGTCTTGCAAAGGGCAAAGTGCAACTTTTTTTTACCCCTACTTAAAAAGCCGCGATTTCAGGCCGCAAATTTTACAGAAGAAGAATAGACGCAGATGGGCGTCTTAGTTGTTTAGGTGAGGGGGATTTTGGGACGTAATTTAGCATTAGAAATTCTCTGCAACCTGGCCTTCTGTCTTGGGGGCAACCTGTTACTAAATTTCCGTGACGAATCTCTGATTAGCAAAACCACTTGTGCCCTAAATTGAGACTATAATTAAGGTATCATCATCATCATCATCATCATCGCAATTACTATTATCCTTCTTCTTCTTATAATAATTATTGTTGTTATTGTTATTAATAATAATATTATTATGGCTTCCAATTTGCTGTGGAAAAATCGCCTTCAAATTCACGCCCGCTTAGGAGGGCTCCCATCCACGGGTCCGTCCAGGATGGGCGTTGAAACGCTTTGCACAAAACAGCTTTCATGGACCGTACAGGGTGCACTGTCCAGCTCCAAGAGAATCACTTCATTTGGCCTTCCAGCAGACAACAGTGAGCCAGGGACGTAAAGTGTCTGCTGAGGACCCTTCACGGGCCAGTAACGACCCAGATTAAAGCCATTGACATACAGCTGACCCTAAAATGACAAAATATCAGAAGTGACCCGGTTTACAATGTTGGCCTGGGCAATTGTGGTTCGCTGAGATATTAAATAGACCTAGTTTCCTATGCAGCTGTTCTCTGTGTCGATATTAATCATGAAAACGTCTAATTCTTAATAAAATACTGAGTATTGAATAATATCACATAAGGCACCAAAATAGCAGCCAATCATATCAACTGAGTCTGTCAAGGCGCGGATCCAGGGTTAATACTGACCGATTTTCTAAACGAGCGCCTAAGGCGCAAGCTTTTGAGGGGGTCCGAGAGCTGCTCCTTAAGTTTTTTTGGGGATTTTAACTCCCTAAAGTCCCCTTCCCCGTATTTTTTGAGTCATTCACAAAGGATATTGACCAGTTCCGTTCTCCTCAGATGAAGCCTTGCAAATCGGCGGATTATTTCATCACGGTCAATTTCCGTGTTGTAGTGGATACGGAACAAAGCGTGTCCAGACTATATTCCTGATTTCAACTTGGAAAGTTTTTCTATTTAAAAAAATTTACTACGATCTGCGTAAAAAGCTGGAAACCAGTGTGGATGCGCGCCTTCAAGTTAACGTCATCAGTCGATCACTATGGAAACAAGTCTCCTCTGCTCGCGCGCATGGAAGAAAATAGCGACTTTAAGATCTAAAGACCCGACGGTGACGAGAACGTCGCTTAAAAAGTGAATTTGCGTTCCTTCAATCTTAACAGCGATTATTCCTCCCTTTTTACTTTGTCAAATGTAGGCGAACCCTCCTGAAGCTGAATTTCAAGGGACCAAATTTAAGCTCAGAAAGAGAAATAAAATTTCGTCGTTGCTTATTTACGTCCTCCATAAAACGCCAAATTAGGCATTTTCACGTCGTATTCGTGCAAAAACAGGAAAGAAATGTACAAAAAAGCGTGATGCACGTGCGAAGTTGTTGTTTTGCTTATTAAACCAATTGTTTTTTTGACGTTCTCGTTGCCGTCCGCGTCGTTGGATCTTAAAGTCCCTAATATAATCAAGAAGCATATCAGCGTATATTACCTTATGCCAATTTTGAAACTTCAGAAAAGTGTCTCTTGGGTTACCATCGGAGGATATATTGAAAAAGCCATGATAAAACGTGGGTACGTCGGACAAAAGGTTACTTGCTGTACCTGTGTTATCGTTCTTAAAAGCCTCACTCCACCCTTGAGAACTTTGTAGGTCCAATGTATACATTTCCCAGTCGACAAGAATTTCCTTGTTTATGGTCACATTTCCAAGGATTCCTTTCGGATCCTGCATGTCTGAGCCTCCTGTTATATGTCCTTGATTCTCTACCAGGATGGTCAGTGTTAGATTGTCTCTTAGGTTGAAGGACGTTTTATTAAAGCTTGCACGACTCAAAGTAGCCTTGCGTTCCTATGTGTAAAGTCAAAAACATTAAAAGAAATAAATGAAATCTTCTGCAAACTTGCTTGTCTCCTCCTTCGAAGGATGAATAGGGAGGTTCCCGATCATTGTTATCCCACTTATTCAAAAACTATTTTTTGTTTCCCTTGCTAACGTACTACAAAGCAAAAGGGCCTCTAAAGATAATAATTTCGTCAGTAAAGCTTGCGCAGATCTTCTAAATATTAAATGGATATCTAATTCCTCTCTTTTTCAGACAAAAATAGGTAAAGAGGATATTCTACAGCTCACAGTGTTCCTCGCTGCTTGAACCTATTTCTCACTGCGGTGTACACAGTAATTTTTAGGGAGTTATTATAACTCCAAAAATGGAGTAAAAATTTTAAGGTACAGGATAACCCTTTTTGGGGTTACTTTAACTCCTAATTTAACTCCGTCATTTTTACTCCTGAATAAGAGTTCTTTTTACTCCCAGTCTGGAGTTAAAATAACTCCGAAACTGGGTTATTTTTACTCCTTACATTGGTTGTTTTTACTCTTTTTGGAGTTAATTTAACTCTGAAAGTAGAGTAAAAATTTTACGTACAGGATAACTCCTTTTTTTGGGGTTATTTTAACTTCTCAATATCTTGGGTCACTTTTACTCCTGAAAAAGAGTTCTTTAAACTCATTTTTGGAGTTAAAATAACTCCCCCAAAAATAACTCCACTGCGAGGGGTTAAATTAGCCCCACTAGAGGAGTTATTATAACTCCTTGAAAGTTACTGTGTATTCAAGTTGTAAACCACAATACGAAACCACCTATAAACCGTCGTTTTCTCGTCACTGTTTGTTCCCTCTATTTCTCTTCCTTACCGAGATAAACATTCGTAGTAAACAATGAAAACGAATTCAGTGAAAGAAACTGACTATCATTTAATTTTTTGTTACAATCTCGTTGCCGCCTGTGCCTTAATTCCATCTTGAAACTTGAGTTATGTGAGTCTTATCCCGTTGCGGTTTTGTAGGTGGAGAAATCTAAATTAATGTCTCTGGTGGATTGATGTTTGTCTCCAAAAACCTAAATTCGACAATTTCACGTTCATATTATATTGTTTTGCAGTGAACGACAGTAAGATGAAATAAAGCGTAAAAGAGGCGTTCACGTGTTCTCAGTACCATCCACATCTGCGATCGTTCTGATCGTTCAGCTATCGGCGACTATTGGGCAACGAGTTCTCAAAACTTCCTTTCAAAACGAGGCTAGATGCAAAACCTTTCTTGTGAAAATGAGTCTCGTTGGCATAAGAATTAAAAACACCATTTTCATACCAACGGCTTCGCACTTAGCCTCGCTATGAAACAGAAGAGCTCTGGGTAACTCGGAAATTCAGGGCGGAAAAACGTTCTGCGCAAGCTTCTGCGCATCCCTTATCGCAGGCTCAAGGCGGGCTTTTCTGTGTGTTGACTGTGTTTGTTGCTGGAGTTCTGAGTGAAATACACGAGGTGCGAACGTTTGCTCCCTGTAAAGCATTTTTATTTGACATGTTTGCTTTTTATTCGTCGCATGAAAATTACTTTGGATTCAGAACAACCAATGTTAAAGGAAAAACGGATCATTCCGTCATCAAAGATCCGACATAAGCCACGCGAAGGAACAAGCGCGCTACACACTGTGTATGCCTCGTTCTTTAAGCAAAGATCCGACATAAGCCACGCGAAGGAACAAGCGCACTACACACAGTGTATGCCTCGTTCTATAAGCAAAGATCCGACATAAGCCACGCGAAGGAACAAGCGTGCTACACACTTTGTATGCCTCGTGCAAAGATCCGACATAAGCCACGTGAACGAACAAGCTCGCTACATACTGTGTATGCCTGGTTCTCTAAGCAAAGATCCGACATAAGGCACGCGAAGGAACAATCGGGCTACACACTGTATATTCATTGTATTATAATTTTTAGAGGCACGGAAGCGTCTAAACTGGGAACCGAGTTTGTGGCCAAAACTGGAAGCGACCCACTTACTATATCTGTTTGCGCAGTGTTTTTGAAAGCTAGAATTAAATTTCTTGCTGGAGGTGCTGATTCCCCAACTGTATTTTATGTTGTACACGGTAGTATACGCATTTGTAAATAACTGCAAGGCAAACTTTATCACACGAGTGTCTCTGGAGTTTGCTTAATACTCAAAAATGTAAATAAGGCACGTCACTCTGCACATAACAGACCTGTACCACAAAATATTCTTTAATAATCATGCATATCGTCGGAAACGTCAACTTGGAAAGTTTTTTTTATTAAAATATAAAAAGTTGGAAACCAGTGTGGATGCACTTGTGGATGCGCGCCTTCAAGTTAAGGTCATTAGTCGATCACTATGGAAACAAGTCTCCTCTGCTCGAGCGCATAGAAGAAAATATAATCAAGAAGCATACCAGCTCATATTACCTTATGCCAATTTTGAAACTTCAGAAAAGTATCTCCTGGGTTACCATCGGAGGATATATTGAAAAAGCCAAGATAAAACGTGGGTACGTCGGACAAAAGGTTACTTGCTGTCCCTGTGTTATCGTTCTTAAAAGCCTCACTCCACCCTTGAGAACTATGTAGGTCCAATGTATACATTTCCCAGTCGACAAGAATTTCCTTGTTTATGGTCACATTTCCAAGGATTCCTTTCGGATCCTGCATGTCTGAGCCTCCTGTTATATGTCCTTGATTCTCTACCAGGATGTTCAGTGTTAGATTGTCTGCTAGGTTGAAGGACGTTCTATTGAAGCTTGCACGACTCAAAGTAGCCTTGCGTTCCTATGTGTAAAGGCAAAAACATTAAAAGAAATAAATGAAATCCTCTGCAAACTTGCACGTCTCCTTTAATGACCTCCTTCGAAGGATAAATATGGAGGTTCCCGATCACTGTTACCCAACTTATTAAAAAACTATTTTTTGTTTCACTTGCTAACGTACTACAAAGCAAAAGGGTCTCTAAAGATAATAATTTCGTCCGTAAAGCTTGCGCAGATCTTCTAAATATTAAAAGGATATCTAATTCCTCTCTTTTTCAGACAAAAATAGGTAAAGAGGATATTCTACAGCTCTTAGCTTGCTGCTTGAACCTATTTCACACCGCTGTGGCGTATTAAAGCTGTAAACCACAAAACGAAACCACCTATAAACTGTCGTTTTCTCGTCACCTTTTGTTTCCTCTTTTTCTCTTCCTTACCGAGATAAACATTCAAAGTAAACAATGAAAATGAATTCAGTGAAAGAAACTGACTATCATTTAATTTTTTGTTACAATCTCGCTGCCGCCTGTGCCTTAATTCCATCTTGAAACTTTAGTTATGTGAGTCTTATCCCGTTGCAGTTTTGTGGGTGGAGAAATCTAAATTAATGTTCCTGGTGGATTGATGTTTGTCTCAAAAACCTAAATTTGATAATTTCACGTTCATATTATATTGTTTTGCAGTGAACGACAGTTTAGAAACGAGAGGAGAACTGGAGCCGAAATGTGTTGAGCAATTGTTTCCGGGATCGTTCTGATCGTTCAGCTGTTGGCTCCTATTGGCCAACAGGCCATTTTCGAGTTCTCAAAACTCCCTTTCAAAACGAGGCTAGATGCAAAACCTTTCTTGTGAAAATGAGTCTCATTTGCATAAGAATTAAAAACATCATTTTCATACCAACGGCTTCGCACTTAGCCTCGCTTTGAAACAGAGGCTCTGGGTAACTCAGAAATGGACGAAATTTTTCCTTGGCCTTATAACAATCCCAGAAGTCTTTTCGAAAGTCAGTTAACTCGGCCCAGTTTCCCTCTTGTTTCCAAAATGCGATGTGAGAGCAACCTCGTTCTTAGGGCTCTCTCCTACCCATTGTACGAGGTTGATGTGAGAGCTCTTTCAAGCTGTCACAAATCGTAAATAAAAATAGCTCTCTTACCTGGCCAACCAGAATAATTCCGCGATCTCGTAGTCCGAGAATTTCCAGTTCTACATTGGTATTTGCAAACTTTTGAGGAATCTGGGTGCGGTACAGTAAGAAACCGTAGTTTTGTCCAACGCTTTCCATTGTCTTAGGAAGAACGGTTTTGATTGGTCCAAAAGGAGAAAGACTGTGGACAACATCTAATAAGTAGGCCACCTTGGAAAATATTAGGCGGACTTGTTACCAGAAAGTAAGCCCAAAGAGACGAATACGTTCAAAATGCGAAAAGAATACAGTTTACTCATAAAACCGTAATCTTCCCCTTATAACCCCTCAAATCATGAGCCCACCCTCCCCACCAGTTATAGGCCCATCTACCTGTAAACCAAACAATTCATCAAGTTTTAAGTCCCCGGATGCAGGACCCCCTGTAGCTTGCATTGAAATGAGTTCAATATTGTACAACGTTTTGAAGCTTAAAAAAGCCAGTAAATTCAAAAAGTATTTTGATCGTCACTGCTATATAGCTTCCTGACGAAGTTATGTAAGCCCCAGGCTCGTAGGCGGAGGTTTACGGTATGTAGAATTAATTATTGTATTTCAGTCCTTTTTCTTTTGTCCCTGATAACAGAGTGAACAGAAGACGAGTTTCTTTGCCTCGAAGAATTTAGAATTTACTAATATGTGAGTGACCCTTTAATCCAAACCTCATCGGTACTACTTTAATTTGGTACCATTTGTTTTTCAAACTATACAATCTGTTTTGTCCCACTTGAAGAAAAGATTAAAGTCTTTACCTTGGTCATGTAGATGTTTCCATAGCTTTGTTTCGGTGTGGATAAAGGAACAGGTAGAGGAGGTAGACCCCGATGTTTTAATATCACTTCCCTCATAGCAAAGTACTTCTTTGTAAGCTCTCCTGATTCACTGATAGGGGCGTCATAGTCGTAGCTGGTTATCTGAGGCTCATAGCCGTTGCCAGGGTTGAAATTAGCACCTGACAAAGACAGTTTCTGCACTGAAATCATCACGATTATACATTTGAATAAAAGTAATTACATGTAATTGTTTTAGATTAACTTCTGATTGGTGGGATAGCTTTTAGCCAATCACAAGGCTCAATACCAAAAACCCAAGTCACGAGTACGTCGCTATTGGCTAGATTTCTTTGGTGTTGTAAATGGGAAGTATTTTAAAGTCTTTTTTTTACCATGTCATGGCAAAATTTTGTCAACTTTTCCATTTTACAAGCCTTTTTTATATGATGTGCCAACGGGGTTGTACAATGTGGTTCTAAATTTTGGACAAAATTAAATAACACAGAGCAACTACAACCGAAGCTCTCTGAATGGACCTCGTCGTAGAAAGCTTATGGTAGTGCCGACTTGACAAAACCTGGAATAACTCCACGCTTACACAAGACATTCAGTCGACCTGTAAGGGGCCAGCCCCATTTGCCTAAGGGGAGGTTTCACAGTATTTAGATAATTAAAGCCATCAAAAAACACACTGTTTATTGTGCTTATAGAGGGATTTGATATTTGAACAGATTACCACTCATGAATCCAAAGTTCGTCCCGCCATGAAACACGTAGACATTTACGGAGTAGTTGGTGCTCAGCCAAATATCGAGATCGTTGGCGATAACCTCGGCGTCTCGGTGCTCGAATTTCATACCCCAGTGGTCGATCCAGCCTGGGTAAAATTCAGAGTCAACCAGGGGGCCCATAGGTTTAAACGAACGCTGGGTTTTCAAGCATTTCTCCACTGTCTTTTTTCCTAAAATAATAATAAAGGAATTATTTTGACAGTTTCAGAGTTTACCAGCATCCTGTTAAATTTTCTGACTAGTGGTAAGAGAAGATAACTTTTAAAGCTTTGCACTCAAGCAAGGACATAAAACGATTAACGCGAGTGAAAAAAAGTGGGTGAGATTGCAATGACTATGGGATGCATGTTGTCTAGTATCAAACCTGAAATAACAGCGTTCAAATATGAAATAGACGCAGTCTTACGGGGAATATCTACAGTTGTTATACGAGGATATCCTCGATTTGGGAGTAGTCGGATTTTTTTCTTCCGAGCAGCCTTAGGTGCCTCTGCCTGAAAAAATATTTTTTCTTTCTCGTGCTCCGCGCTCGCTCTCGCTCGCTCGCTTCGCTAGAGCGCTCGCCGATGTTTTCCGAAATAACGAAAAGAAAAATAAAACAACGTCTGGGTACAACCTAACTTCTATCATCACGTAAGCACATGTCAGTCGACATTCCAGTTCTAGCAGTATGCAGCTGCAGGATGTTTAGTGGTTTGAGAAAGTGAGCGAGTTGGGATAATCGCACTGAAATTCCAAAAACCGCGAATACTATCTTCCCTTGATGTGATGGTAGTCTATTGAGGGTTACCCTAGTAGTATGTTTCGGGTATCCATTTATACACCTGGCAAACTACAGTAAAGTTTCTTGCCTAAGGAATCGACTCTAAGGCAGGCTAAAACATGGGCCTACGCATGCGAAGTTAAATGCGTTAAGGGTGCGGCTACCCCGTCTCCACAGACTGCGCAGGAGAGATTGGGTGATAAAATGAACCGAAAACCCGGAAAGGGGTTTAGTACGAACCAGCTGTATCACTGCGAAAGGAAAAAAAATACTTTGTTTGGGAGAACGTTTTATGGATATTTTACCTCCGCCGCCGTCCACTGTTGACAACATCCCCTGCAGGGTTCCGCACTCGAAAGCACTGTCTTTACAAGCATTGTTTGTAAAGAGAACGACATCGTTCCCAAGATATTTTAAAAAGAGATCTTTCAAGTGAGCCATGTACTGATGATCACACTGCTCCACGTTACCATACTCATTTTCTACCTAAAGACAAAAAACAAGGATTGGTAACTGAGATATAACAATTTTCAAAGTCAAATTCCTTGAAGATTTTGGTTGCCACAGATTTTGCTATTCTGCCTTTTGTGTTTAGTCTCTTTACGCAACCTCTTTCAGAGGGTTTTTTCTCTTGCTTTAAGAAAGAACTGATCCAGGAAGAGGCATTGTGTTGTTCTCTTGTTAGGGTTTGTCTTTGATTTTTTTAGAACCAAGGCTAGGATCATACCGAGGCTAACCGCCGCCAGGTTAGCTCAGTTGGGAGAGCTCCGGTCAGCCGATCGGGAGGTCGTAGGTTCAAATCCCGGCCGGACAAAAATCAGAGTGTAAAAAAAAAGCTGGTGACGGTGATTTGAGACCTTGTCTCAGTTCAGATGACCGCGTCATTAGGCGGTGACGTTAAGGTTGGTCTCCTTTATCCTTCTGTTATTAGTGAAATCGAAGGGGACGTAAAAGGACCCACACTACTGTTCAAAAAGAGCAGGAAAGTTTCCCCAATGGTGTGGTCTACCTTTCAAGCATAACGCATCACGCATCACGCATAACGCATCATTCATATCATGGGGCATGGATCGGTTACAGTAAACTTATAAATGGACTGATAGCGGCTGCCAATGGCGCCCTTAAAATGTAAAAAGGGCGCGTCTTGTTGGCCTCTAATCCACGACATCACATCATACACACACAAAACAACACACATGTCTTGGGCAGCAGCTTTCCCTAATTCTTTCCTCTGAAAGCAATGACGAAACAATCACGGTAACTAACCAAGGAAGAAATATATGTTCACCCAGAGTAGCCTGCGTAACAGGCGATTGAAAGAAATATGGGTACGAGAAAGAACGGGGCACGCCACGGAGACATATTGCTTCCAAGCGCGTGTCTTAGGGGCGTGCCTCCTGCGTCCCGTTCTTTCTTGCGTCCACATCACTTCTAACGCGCCTGTTACGCAAGGTAATATAGTAGTAGGTAGCCTTAGGTAGGTAGGCAGGTAGGTAGGTAACCTTTAAATCATAATGTATCCAGTTGTTGATTCTCACCTGAACTGTAATAACGGGTCCTCCATTAGAATAGATCAAAGGCTTTATTTTTGGAAGGAGCACTCCCATCCATCTGTCCACTGCAGCGATATAAGCTATGATGTTATAACAATGAAAAAGATTACGTTATTGGAAGGGTATGCATTCCAACTATATTAAGTGATTTGAAAATAACGACACCTGTTGTATAGTTGTCAGAACAAGGAGGAAGGAGAATGGAGAAAAACACTTTGAAAAATAAACATTTGAAATCAGAGATTTCTCCGGCACTTCGTTCGACCCTACTCTTAAGACTTCTTTGATAACTCCGGCTTCTTCAACTATGATGGTCTCAAAAAAATAATCTAATATAGATAATTGAAATACAGGATTTCATTTGTTCTGATACAGCTATAAACCATCCTGGCCGACTGGTCAGCAAGTAACTTGCAATCCAGCGGTCCTGATTTCCAGTCCCGCTCTGACCACTAGCTCGATTTGTTCCTCGGTCGTCCCGAGTTCAAATCCGGTCATGATGTTTGTGTATGGTTGCTGGTTGCCTCCTACCGGTTGGAGGGTTTGAATCCTTTTATATTACATTTTCGTGTTACTTATCAAATGATTTATGTAAAGTGCCTGTAAACTAGCTAGCGTATCTAAGTCTACTTCAACCATACAAGGCATTTACAATTTAATTAAGCCTCTTAAATGAATGGTTACAGTCTAAAATGAACGCGGAACGACCAGTGCGTCATAAGTGAACCATCAAAAACAGCTGTCCTTGGCAGCCCCTTCGCCAGTTACATTATGTTGGCGAAGCTAATAGAATAAAAAATAAAATAAAATAAAATAAAATAAAATAAAATAAAATAAAATAAAATAAAATAAAATAAAATAAAATAAAATAAAATAAAATAAAATAAAATAAAATAAAATAAAATAAAATAAAATAAAATAAAATAAAATAGTAGTAGCAGTCCCACAAGTCTTGGCGAGAGTTAGTTAAGGCTCAGTTTCCTTCCTGTTCCCAAAGTGGGAAAGCTCATGTGATATGTGATATGGCTGTGCGCATGTGTAAGGTACTGATCTTACCACAGGAAGTTGGGTGTTGTGAATTTATTAGCGGAGCTCCACGCACGCGCGAAGCTTACACGAGCATAGCCCCATGCCTAAGAAAATGTGGTAATCTGCCCATCTGAGAAATTTTGGCAATCACGTGACCGAACGCCCGACCGTCCGTCCGTCCGCACCATAGGCATATCAACGTAAAACAACTCAATCAACAGGTATGGCAACCCTCAATGCAACTAGTGTTTATTTGGCGGGAAATCGCAAGGCCACCCGCTTCTTGTGAAGCAGAGACAACTGAAGAGTTAATAAAGACGAAAACGAAAAGCTGAAATTGTTTCTGTATCCATGTTTTGTAGAGTATTAGATTAATTGTCACGTTCACAAATTTGGAATATAGAGAAAGAGAAAGACAGAGAAAAAAGAAAGTAGAGACAGGCCAGAGAAGCTCAACCAGGAAAAGAGCGACAGAGAGCTAGAGCGAGAGATAAAAAACAAAGGAGAGGAAGGACAACCAATATGAAAAATTTTGTAGCGGCGGTGAGAAAATAAGAAATGCTGGCGGCCACTAAGGCGCAAATGAACGGCAGTGAAAAAAAAAAAAGTGAACAAGAACACGTACGACATATCCTTCATAAAACGTCTAACTAGGAAGTTTCTTGAAGTTTCAAGTTGTAGTCGTGCTAAAAATCGGCAAAGAAGTGTACAAAAACAGTGTGCTGCACGTGCAAAGTTGTTTTTTTGCTAATTAGACCAATTGTTGTTTTTTCACCGTTCTCGTTGCCTTCGCCGCTCAGCATAACATGATTTTATATTTTGTTGAGCAAACTATAAACATTATTGAGAGCTTCACTTTTAGCCCTAGCTAAATCTATATACATTAAACACCTAATGACTGCAGGTCTCGAGGGAAATAGTGACTTTTGTTTCCCGATACACACTTTGCTTGAGGACACCGGGTTCCCCACCATTGGAGAACTCTGAACGGCAATGCTAGACCAAAGTGACTGACGAGCAAGAATCCATGTTGTCCGAGCTAGCGCTCGACCAAACTAACTAATTTACAGACTATAATCTCAATGTTTCCCGAGGCGGAACCGAGGGAAACAAAATTTACTGTTTCCCGAGGGACCAATCTAATTTTGAAGCTAAATATATTAAATAAACCTCGTTGTAACGGCGGTCGTCGATATTCGCGGGTAACAGTGCACTGTTACCCTCTGACGTCATAGATTTTGTAATTGTCCACTCTAGAAAATACCATAACATACCATAATGCTCTTTGTTTGTCACCCCAAAATTTTGCATAAGCATTGTTTTAAGTTTCCCTTGGGGCCATTTTAACTCCCAACCGAATCTGAAGACAATGCTAATGCAAAATTTTGGGGTGACAAACAAAGAGCATTATGGTTTGTTATGGTATTTCTGGAGTGGTCAATTTTGTCGTTCAGAGATTTGGGCGGGAAACGGTTTGATTGTTAGATGTTATGTGATCTCGAAGTAACCAATGAGAGCGCTCGCTGTTGGGAAAAATGTCTAACTATATAACAAAACAGTTTATTACACTCATGAAATTCAATTATAAATGCACTTGCGGCCCCTTACCTGCGTTTTTCATTGTTCTGAATCGCGGCATGTAGTTAGCAGTGTAGTCCTTCAATAACCAAGGCGGAAATCCACCCTGAAAATAATTGTTGCAATTGCGTAATAGAAGTAAAGCGTAAAGTTTGAATGTTCAAATAAAGTGTTTGAAAAATATATTTATTTTTGTTACACGCCTACCATATCTCGCTCAGCTGCGATAAAAGGTCCTGCAAAGAGAACACGTATAGTTGTAAGATAACACGCAAGGCAATTAGAAGACACGCATAGCTATTAGAAAACACGCTTGGCTATAAGAGAACACACACGGAGACGACGCACGGCTATAAGAAGACATTCATGGCTATGAAACACATATGGCTATTTACGTCAGTTTACACTTGATGCTTGAACACTAGTGCCCGGACAATTTGTGCCCTCAGGCGCTATTTTGACGAGAGAGCGTCACATGGTTCTGATAAGACTTCTTTTTTTAATGGAAGATACAGAAGCTAATGAAAGCAATGAACATTTATATAGAGAGAATATTACGTGGCCGCTTGGGGATGCGAATTTTATCTTATCGTCCTGAAAGTATCTCTCACTTGTTCGCTTCGCTCACTCGTGAGAGATACTTTCAGCACTCGAAGATAAAATTCGTATCCCTGCGCGGCCATGTAATATTCTCTATTTTCGTTTACCTTACCCGCTCTTATAATCACCAGCAACCCCAAAGATCCTGCCAGCTGCGTGAAGTCAACAAAATCGTTTCCCCCCTCAAAGTCATATTGTCCTTCAACTTTCTCGTGGACCTGCCATGCTATGTACCTGTGGGAAAGACAACACAGAAGTAAGATCTTTTAACTATCTGTTATTTGGGTCTAGTCCATTCCATTGCCAGAGGTTCCATTTGAAAACTTGAATTAAAGTTTTTAAGTGTATCATGACACTGTCGGGGTTGTTTCGAACTACACTATAGGATTGTATTGGGAAGAAGAATGAAAGGCCATGGAAGCCCTTTCATGGTTTCGTATTGTATATTCTACAAGATAAAACTTAGATGAAGGTCGGACAACTCATCAACCTTACATACTGAGGAGACCTTATCTTCAATTTTTTTCAAAGAAAAAAAAAGTCCAAAGACAGCCAGGAATCCTCGAACTCGGTTTGAAAATTTGTTTCTTACTTAACCACTACAGTAAAGGAGCAGTCGGTACCAACAGCCGTTATTAGTCGAGCTTGTTTTAGCAGAGCGAGACTCTAAAAATGCAGGCGTTTCTTTTTTTCTCTTGTTTTGTCGGTGGGACCTAGGTTGGAGGCCACGCGTTCCTAGCGGAGACCGTGGAAACTGGGATAAGAATCGTGACGACTTTTATTGTATGCAAATGAGTCTGGTGATGAGCATGCGGTTTATTTTCGGCGATGACTGGAATAACGCGAAATGTTTATCACGTTTTAGTGCTATGGCAAAATTTTTTCTTCCATGCAACAAATCCCGCTTTTTCTTTTTCAACAAAACAGGCCTAGGTTTACGTTTCATGCTTATATGACATAGCAAGCCGATAAAATCGCGAGAGCAAAACAGACATAACAAAAAGTATAATTACACATGTAGGAGGGTCAAATGGGGTGAACACGGGACCTTTGAAACATTGGCTACCCTTCCTTAACAATACAACCCCATTTAAATCCCAGAAAATCTTTTTTTAAAAGAGCACTGGGTTGAAATTTACTCCAACCAAAGGGCGATTAACCACATCTCACCTTCCAATATTAGAGCCAGTGTTGAAACTCGCCCTCCCAAGCTATGCAATTTACTCCATTTCTCTCCCCCTTCCATCCCTGACATTTTATGGGCCCCCCCCCCCCCCCGGAGCTTCGCGAGGTTCTGCGATACACGTATTTCTAGTTAAATTTGATCTTATGGGAATTTGGTTCTGAACTTCACGTGGGAAAAATTAAACACTGTTGAACGTGACCGAAAGAACAGTTTTGTAAACGTGTTGCGGGTCATGAATGGTAGCGCAGAATCAGGGAATGAAAAACGACACGATGCTCTCATCTGAACGTTTCGAAAAACAACGTACACTAGCCAGAATGTAATATTTTGAGAAGAAAAATTTGCAAAGATTAATGGATTATACGGTGATGTCGCTTACAAATCCACACACCATTCGTGGTAGACCCCCACTAAAAGATGTCGAGCGTTTTCGGAATGGGTCGTTTCACGAGTTCTGCCGTTTGAAAGCGTTGATAACTTTGAAAGAAGTGAATATATCAGATGTTGAAAAAAGGAAGAATCTTCATGAACAGAACTTCGATGATGGGATAAAAAACAATAAGCAAATCGTTGTAAATTCAACTCTCCTGTTCAACAGCCTCATTCTTTTCCTTTTTTGTGATGCTAGATACTTGTAACGAACAATTTGATATTTCATACATCATTAGTCACGCAAGCGAGACTGTGACCATTTTGGTCTGAAATTGCCTTGAATTGGGCATGTTTTTTTAGAAGAAGCTTCCTCATCATTTGGCGATAACACCATTTCTCTTTTAATGTTTACGTCAACCGTGTACGTGCCATAACAGCTTGTTACGCGCTCCGGTCACGCACAGGGCTCCAGGGCTTCAGGTCTGAAACACGGTATCAAATTTTTGATCAGGTCTGAAATAGGGTAGGGAAAATTACAGATTTTGGTCTGAAATAGGGTAAGGGTTTTAGGAAGCGTGCCGCACACCCCCACCCAATTGGGGGGGTCATTGTGCCAGGCGTTCCTTGCAGTGTCCGTGGAAACTGGGACTTAGAATCGTTGCGTGATCGAAGCCACGCATGTTTTGGGAAGAAAGCATTTAAAGCTTTTCCGACTACACACGTATAGCCTGTAGTCGGTCCACGAATTTTATCGCTTGAAATCGTCGATTACTTTGGAACAAGTGAACACTACTAATACTAAGTGCTCTTAATTAGCAAAACTGCGATGGTCGGGTTTTGTAAACTTTCATTGTATGCAAATGACTGTTGTGTTGAGCATGCGATTTATCTTCGGCGACGATTGAAATGATGTGTCATGTAAANCAACCCCATTTAAATCCCAGAAAATCTTTTTTTAAAAGAGCACTGGGTTGAAATTTACTCCAACCAAAGGGCGATTAACTACATCTCACCTTCCAATATTAGAGCCAGTGTTGAAACTCGCCCTCTCAAGCTATGCAATTTACTCCATTTCTCTCCCCCTTCCATCCCTGACAATTTATGGGCCCCCCCCCCCCCCCGAGCTTCGCGAGGTTCTGCGATACACGTATTTCTAGTTAAATTTGATCTTATGGGAGTTTGGTTCTGAACTTCACGTGGGAAAAATTAAACACAGCTGAACGTGACAGAAAGAACAGTTTTGTCATATAACGTGTTGAGGGTCATGAATGGTAGCGCAGAATCAGGGAATGAAAAACGACACGATGCTCTCATCAGCACGTTTCGAAAAACAACGTACACTTGTCAGAATGTAATATTTTGAGAAGAAAAATTTGCAAAGATTAATGGATTATACGGTGATGTCGCTTACAAATCCACACACCATTCGTCGTAGACCCCCACTAAAAAAATGTCGAGCGCTTTCGGAATGGGTCGTTTCACGAATTCTGTCGTTTGAAAGCGTTGATAACTTTGAAAGAAGTGAATACATCAGATGTTGAAAAAAGGAGGAATCTTTATAAGCAGAACTTCGATGATGGGATAAAAAACAATAAGCAAATCGTTGTAAATTCAACTCTCCTGTTCAACAGCCTCATTCTTTTCCTTTTTTGTGATGCTAGATACTTGTAACGAACAATTTGATATTTCATTCATCATTAGTCACGCAAGCGAGACTGTGACCATTTTGGTCTGAAAGAGGGTATGGTTTGTGCACTCTAGCCTTGAATTGGGTATGTTTTTTTAGAAGAAGCTACTTCATCATTTGGCGATAACACCATTTCTCTTTTAATGTTTACGTCAACCGTGTACGTGCCATAACAGCTTGTCACGCGCTTCGGTCACGCACAGGGCTCCAGGGCTTCAGGTCTGAAATACGGTATCAAATTTTTGATCAGGTCTGAAATAGGGTAGGGAAAATCACAGATTTTGTTCTGGAATAGGGTAAGGGTTTCAGTAAGCGTGCCGCACACCCCCACCCAATTGGGGGGGTCATTGTGCCAGGCGTTCCTTGCAGTGTCCGTGGAAACTGGGACTTAGAATCGTTACGTGATCGAAGCCACGCATGTTTTGGGAAGAAAGCATTTAAAGCTTTTCCGACTACACACGTATAGCCTGTAGTCGGTCCACGAATTTTATCGCTTGAAATCGTCGATTACTTTGGAACAAGTGAACACTA